TATTATTATTATTATTATTATTATTATTATTATTATTATTATTATTATTATTATTATTTTGTATGGAACTAATTCACACATTTTTTTTGATCGAGTAGATAAGTAGTTTTTTTTTTAAGAAGGTAAATTTAACCTTTTTTGGTGGATAATATATATCTTAATAGTTAAACTATATTTAGGTAAAAAAAAAGTTAAATTTTTATTAAATATCTATTTTGCTCTTGGCTATATTGATATGACATAACTCTTTGAGTTGAGGAGCCATTTGAGAGAATTTATAATGACTTTTCCGATTTGTAATTTAATGATCTCAATATTTCCTGCAATATAGTCACGTTACTTGTTTCTTGGTTATGAGAGTGAATATTATTTCTCCGTACCAACACAGAGTCGTTACTTGATTATTGGTTGTGAGAGTGAATATTATTTCCACGTACCAACACAGAGTCATTCTAATATATTTTGTCCTAACTTACATGCATTCTAAGAAAATTCTGAGGAGATCATCCAATGTACAATTATTATAAGCAAAACACACTAACATTTGAATAGATAATAACTTTTAATTTTTTAAAGCTTTTTTTAACATCCTATCTTCAAGATTATTTTCATCTGAACATAGTCTCGATTCATTCATTTACTCCTTTATTCGAGTGACACAATCTTTAAAAGTTGTAATTTATAGGACCATACATACTACTCTGGTCTAGGTAGTTAAGATCATACCCTGAAAAAGATTAGTTACATTTTATAGGGGTTTGAAGCTACCATAATTGGTCTACATACTACTCTGGTCTATGTGTTGATTTGACATAAATCTTTTGAGTTGAGGTGTCATTTGAGAGAAGTTATATAATGGAGTTGGTTTTAAAAAAATTTGCATTTAATGACCCGAACATTTGTTGCGATATAGTCACATTAGTTCGAGAGAGGAACTAAGCATTCCTTATAAGTGTGTGAAAACTTCTCTCTAGTAGACGTATTTTAAAACTGTGAGGCTGACTATGATACATAACGGGCCAAGTGGACAATATATGCTAGTTGTGAGCTTCTGCTATTACAAATGGTATCAAACCCAAACACCGAATGGTGTGTCAGCCAAGATGTGGAAAACCTTGAGAGGAAGTCCAAAGCACAAAATATCTATTTTTTATTTGTGATTGGAATATTAGCCTTGTAAAGCACAAAATATTTAAGATTGACTAACGAAATATTTAATCTCTTCTTCTAAGTGTGTTGATTGAGAAGATTAATATTTCATGAAATGATCATATGTGACGCGATTTTAATTTTAAGTAGGTTATGAACTCTTCTTTACGGGAAACTTGTATTTGATTTGCATGGGTGAGAACGACTTTCACAACCGATTTAATATGTCTACCATTTTGAACAATGAGAGCACACCCTCTTATTAGTATGACTTAGTTTATAGTTAATCGTAAAAAAATTATTAATTAGAAATTCAGTAGTTCTTATAGTGAAAAATATATTTAAAAGAGTAAAACAAATTTTTAACCTAACTATTGTTACAAACAATTCGTAAAGAATCGATAATCGACTTGATTGTAGTAATTACATCTATGAACACAACTTGTTTTACAGGGTACAACAATTTTGCTATAGGTAATTGATCTATAGTTAATGAATGAAAAATTATTAATTAATTAATCTTATATTATTAGAGTTTATAACGGTCGGTAACTTAAATTGAAACAAAAATTTAAAAGATTTAAATTAATATTTAATAATTTTATATATTAAATATAAAGAAGAAGAGTATTTTTATTTGAAATCTTCATATTAAGAAAGAAATATTCACCGTACATTAAATATATAATAAATTTAAATGTAAATATATCTTGAAATGTTTTATTTAAATATGATTAATTAAAAATTGTGAAATAATCCTACTTAACGAGGATAATATCTAGATTATAACAAATAATGATATTGACATAATAACCTTACTATCTCTTGATTCAAGAATGAAAAAAAAAGTTGTAAGTTATCATAATTGGCTTACTTTCCAAATAAAAAACATTAACTTAATGAGTTGCCATATTTGAAACCAAATATTTTCATATAAATCTTCGATTAAAAATGAGAGTATCATACACCTTTCAATCACAGATCAATTCAATTTATCATTGCTTTTTATACGAAATGGCAAAGTTTTCTTGCTCCCTATTCTTCATTGGTTTCCTCCTTTTTTCAGGTTTGTTTTTTAGATTTAGAAACATCTTATAAACTTTCAAGAATTTGTACATTTTCGTTTGATAACTATTTGATTTTTTAACAGCTGCATGCATGGTGTCGGTCAATGCAACACAATGTGAAGAAAAGTTGTACGAAGGATGCGTACCTAAAGACTGTAGCGAGAGATGTTTACAGAAGTTTCCCAAATCAACCTCTGAATGTGTTCCAACCGGACAAATCCCATTTAACTATATTTGCTATTGTTTCCATGATTGCTAGAAGGTGATCGATTCTCGTTTTTATCACAGTCTCTATTAAATAAAACGGTTGAATGCCTCTATGAATTCAATCAATCCCGTGTAACTATTTTATTTTTGTTTTTGTTGTTGCTTCCATGATTGCTAGAGAGTGATCAATTCTGGTTTTTACCGGTCTCCATTAAATAAAATGGTTGGATGCATGGATTCAACTTTTTTATCATAATCCTCCATTTATTCATTTCTCGCCCGTCTTAGTTCGAACTTTCATTGTCTTATAACTTGACTACTAATATAACGTGTTATAATAAATTCAATGACTATTAGAAAAGTTGTAAGTTGAGAAAGAGAACATATATATTCAGTTCGTATGTTTTTTAACAATTGCTAATCTCAATATAACTTGTAACATCATCATTAAAATATTGAGATGAAATATAGTATTTTTGTTATAAAGGCATATTATTATGAAATATAATATCTAACCCATGGTTGTTATAGTAAATAATTGGACATTCAACTCTTTCCTTTCATTTCTTCTTTACTCATCCATCTTTATCTTTAATCATAAATGAAATTATTTGTCGATAGGTCGGTGGATTCAACCAGTATATTAACATAAATTAATTATTAATAAAAATAAATATTTTTTATTTATAAAAATAATAGGAGGGAATATGTAGGCTCTAGAATGAACACGAACCGAAGGTCATTTATAATTTAATGAAAAAATATTTTTTTTTTTTGTTACAATTTGATCGAGTGAATGATTTGTGTTTTTTTTTTCATTGATATATAAATTTGCCCCATAATAATATATATTTTTAATTTAAAACAACTTTGGATAGGTTAAGATTTAAATAAGACCGATCACTAAAATAGATAATGGAGACTCAAAACTCTAATTTTTTTTATTAAATTATAAAAGAAAATTATTTTATTATTAATAGCTATTTTAAATTATTAAATCGCTTCTTTATTATTATTATTATTATTTTTGTATGGAACTAATTCACACACATATATATTTTGATCCCGTAGATAAGTAGTCAATTTTTTTTTTAATGTAATAGTTAAACTATATTTAGGTCAAAAAGGATGGTTTTACAATGGTACAATTCTTTTCTAGTTAAATTTTTATTAAATATCTATTTTGCCCTTAGCTACGTTGATTCGACATAACTCTTTGAGTTGAGGTGACATTTGAGAGAATTTCTATAATGGAGATGACTCTTTTCGATTTGGCACTTAATGATTCTAATATTTCCTGCCATATAGTTACGTTACTTATTTGTAAGAGTGAATATTATTTCCACAGACCAACACGAGTCATTCCAATATGTTTTGTCATAACTTACATGCATTCTAAGGAAATTCTGAGGAGGTCACCCTTCGTACAATTATTACAAGCAAAACACACTAAAGTTTGAATAGATAATAACTTTTAATTTTTTTAAGCTTTTTTTAACATCCTATCCTCAAGATTATTTTCATCTGGACATAGTCTCAATTCATTCATTTACTCCTTTATTCAGGTGTCACAATTTTTAATAGTTGTAATTTATACGACGATACATACTACTCTGGTCGAGGTAGTTAAGGTCATTCCATGAAAAGATTAGTTAATTCCATAAGGATTTGAACCTACCATAGTTGGCCTACTTTCCAATGAAGATATAAAAGTTATTGAGTCACCATATTTGTCCAACAAAATGTGTATATAAATATAGGCTCTACAATAGCAAATGAGCAAACCAAGTATACATTCAAACACATAAAATTTAGTATATTACAACGCTGATATTTTAAGAGATGGCGAACTTCTCTCGCTCCCTCTTTGTTCTTGTCCTGGTTCTCTCAGGTACGTATGGTTGTTTAAATACCTTTTAAGTATTGTGTTGTAAGCTTGGATGGGTATTAGACTATGTATAACTTTGAAAATTTGTGTAGCTGGTTGGATGGTACCTCTAACAACCCACGCAAAACAATGTGATGTGAAGATGTTCGAATATGCATGCGAGACTACTGGATGTCACCAAAAGTGCCTAGAGGTTTACCCAAATTCAACGTCTCAATGTGTTGAAACTCCTGAATTTCCCACCAACTTCGCTTGCCATTGTTTCTTCCCTTGTGAAGAAAAATGAGTTTTGATGTGATTCTCTTCTTTTCCTAGTACTAATTCACACATTGGAATGCCTTAATTCCACATATTTCCTAAATAAAATGGTTGGATGACTTAGGTGTTACTCAATCTGTCACTTACAAATATCCAATATTTTTAAATTTTATAATAAATTTAAAAGTAAGTAGAACATGGTATAATTTAGTTACAAATATTAAATATTCTTAAATTTATACCGGATTGTTATATCATCACCTAAGAAAGAAAACAAAAAGGACGGTAGATAGTTGATTTTCCATAATTAGGATGCTAAAAAAAGAAAATAGAGTGATGGATCCACAAGTTGGGGAGCCTCTCTTCATATAAATACAATCATTTCAATTACAAACAACACCAACAATCTTTGAATCAAAACAAATAAATTTTGCAAAGCGTTGATTTTCCAGAAGATGGCAAAGTTTTGTTGCCCTCTCCTTTTCCTTCTCCTTGTTCTGTCAGGTTTGTTTAGTAGCATTGTTTTTGTTTGGTTTAGGATAATATTTAGTTGGAATGATGAAATGATACTCCTAATGTTGGCAGTTGCATTGATGATGCCTGAAGCAGCGCAGGCAAGTCCTTGCCATGAGAGGCTATATGAAACTGGATGCGAAGCTTCTGCATGTCGCAAACAGTGTGAAGAGAAGTACTCCACTTCAACATTTGAATGCGTTCCAAATCCTCTGCATCCCCCTCACGTTGCTTGCTTGTGCTTCTTCGATTGCCCTAAAAATTGACCAACTTTCTGTCTAATCAATTTCTCCAAATAAATACTGGGAGGAACCAATCAAGTTTTTGCCGAATCAAATTATTCATTTTAAATTATTATTATTATTATTATTATTATATGCTATTTTGTAGACTTATAAGACCACAATTTATTCTTAAATTTTAAATATATATATTTGTAAATTTCTTGGGGATTTCAACGCTCACAACGTGGAATAGTCAAACTTCGTAATCTATTGTCAACAACTAATATTAATTAGTTGTATAATTAAATGGAAAATTATTTTGTTTAAAAGTATTTGAAAAATAAATCCTACACAATTAATTTGATTGGGTTTGAATTTTCAATCCACTTGTTTAAGAAATGTTGTTTTAGTATTTAATTATTAATAATTTTTCAACATTCAAGACATGTTCGATTTGAAAATTGGCATGTCCGTCTCGAATGTCAAAGGGTCAAAATTTTTATTTGGCCATAAAAATTTTTAATATATGAAGAACATTAGTTCAACGTCTTTGATGACAAACTATTTTAATAAAATATCTGTATTTATTTATTGATGATTTTAATAGAATGAAATTTAAAAGAATAAAATCATATTTATTAATATTCTTTAATGATACAATATCACAAATTATGGAGTAAAAAAATGAGCTATTTAACTAAACCCTAATATTGACATAGAAGATGCAGATAGACTGTGACTATTTGACAATATTAAAATATTGGCACAGTTATTCATTAATTACATTCCTTGTATACATTCTTAAATAATTCATAACCGTAGAAATTTATTTTCATTCTCCTTGTTATTGTTATCAACTTTGGCATAACAATTTCTCATTAAAAAAAGGACAGTAAAAAATGAATATAATTCAACAGCTAATAATAATAAACAAAGATATAAAAGATACATGTGGATTTAAAAAATAATAATAATAAATTAATAGTAATGGCCTACACCACAGTATGGTGTGCATAGAAAAAGTAATATTAAACAATGATAATGACGCTGTAGCTGTTTCAGTCATGTTTGTTTGGGGCATTAAAGAACGTGGGCTCTGACCCAGTGCACATTTGCTCCGAAGCTCCCAACCGAAAGGCGACAGAAATTAAACCTAAGCAAAAATTAGGTTCATAGATATATGATATTCCATTTGTCTAAAGTTTTTATTTTTTATTTTAATAAAGTAGAGAATGAGTCTTAATTGCATTTCTTATTTAGGGGCTCAGAAAAAAATGGTAGAAACTTATCACAATTAGGCTATTTATAAAGAAATTAAAAGTCGAATATCGTCATAATTAGGCTACTAAAAATAATAATACCATAAATATTTTATAATTAAACTTTTTTTCCCTCTTTTATCTGTAAATAAAGGCAATTCTTTTATTATTATATTTCTTTTACTCTTAATGGAAGGAAAGTCATTTCTGATATATACGAATGAATGCCATCGAAGTGTCGAGAGAAGCACCCTAATTCACTCTTTCAACGCCTTCAACTTTCAATTTAATTATGCTCCTCTTTTACTTTACTTAATATTCAAGTATATGGTACTGTGGTTAATTCCCTATACTCACGTCTTTCTCTTTGGGAGAATAATTCCGTGTGTTTAGTCAATAAAGCTGTCCTCGTCACTTTATTGTTATTCAATTCTCGATCATTTATAAATTTGAATTTATTGATTCTTATCTTAATCACGTGGCAAATTTTTGTAATTTTTCTTACCTCAACTATACGCAAAGTAAAATATTCAAATCTCTGATCACTTTAAAATAATATATACTCAAATTATAACGATTTTAAGGTGTAATGAAATAATATATACTCAAACTATAACGATTTTAGGGTGTAACGAAAACATCATCGAAAACATATTTAAAACAATGTAATGAAATAATAAATAAAATAAATAAACATTAAAAGTAAAAACACGCTATTGTAACTTAAAGTTTTTTAAAAATTTAAATATAACTATCCTATGCATATGTCATTGTCTCGATTTACGATACCTTCGTTTGCCGAATAGAAGTGTGTTGCCTTCACCCGAATGTAGTTAGACGAGTTTTATATATTCAAATTCGAATTTATAATTCAATTCAGTTTTAAGTTATTTGGTAGCCAACTTTCTGTACTTTCCCAAAACTGTCGTGACATTGGTAGGGCTCATATGAAATGCCTGATGTATTTAATACATTACCTAACAAGTTCAAGTTGCAGGATGAACTATACCAATACTAAACATTTATTTTAAAATATCAAAAGGAACCAAATCTAACATTTATTTAACTAAAAGTAAATATATATATATATATTTTTAAAAGTAATTTAAACCAAAAAGTATTAAGCATTTTTATAATCACAATTATCAACTCCACTAAGTGCAACCCTTCTCATATTTTATTACAAAAAGTAACATTAAAAAAATAATAATAATAAAAGAATGATAATGACTCACTAGCTGTTCCAAATATATTTATTTGGGTAATTAAGAAAATGGCTTCTGATGCACTAGACTTTTGGTCTGATAGTCTCAAACCAAAGACAAAAATCAAACCAGAAAGATTAGGTTGAGGATGTTATAAGATATTTCTTTTAATACATTAAGTCAATAAATTTATTGTGGAATCCATTTAGTCGTTGAGATTGTCCACATTAAATAGTTGATTAATTAATGCATTAATCAGCAGTTGTTTGGTGGAATTTTCACTTGGGTTTTAATTATTATAATACTTTTCTACAATTCAAAAAAAGAAAAGAAAAAAAAAGTTTCTAGCTCCCGCCTTCTAGACTATCTATAAATTACTTTTATATATATAAATAATATAATTGAAATTTAATATTTTCTGAGTTGTCATAAAACTAAGAACTAATGACTTAGTACACAAGCCAGTTGAGAAAACTTCCATTCTACTGTTCTCCAGCTTGACTTCATTCATTAGACTATTATTAAATAAAAAATAAAGAATTAAAATGTACGAACATTAATATATACATATATATATATATTTTTTATTTAATGAAAGAGATTTTAACACTTTACCTTCATCTATGTTGAGATAAATAATAATTAAATAAAAATATAGAATATTGACGTTGATATTTTTAATATATATAATTTTTATAAGTATTTGCAACTTTTTGATGTTTGGCTCGATAGTAGTTTATGTTGGTTGAATTATCTATTTTTATAAATTTTTTGATTTATAGAAATATATGTGGATGTTGTTATTTTATTTTGTATTTAGAATTATGAGAGACCATGTAAACCTAATCCGGAGTTAAATTAGTAGAGGGGGGGAATGACGTAGACAGGTCAGATAAGAACGATATGTTTGTAAAGAGCCCATGGCTTTACGCAAAATCCCCAAAACACACCGTATGGTGGCTGATGGTGTGGTCTCCTCCCTTTCCTGCCCCTTTCCACGTCCCTACCATATGCAGAAATAAAATAAAATAAAATAAAATAAAAAATAAAATAAAAAAAAAAAAAAAAAGAAGGAAAAGAGAGTCAGAGACCAAATCATCCCTTTCTATTTTTATTTGTTTGCATATTCCGGAATCCGAGTTTCCAACTGCGTATCCAGACACTCACCGTCGTCGTTCTCCAATACATATCACTTTCTCTCTCTCTCTCATTGTTATGGCGCTTTCAACTTTTCCTCTCGCATTTTAGAACCTCCGTTATAATCTCGGTCCTTAACGTCTCCATCTTCCACGGCGAGTTTCTTGTTTCTCTTCCTCCTACTTTTCAAGCTCTGGTACTCATCTCTCTCTCTCTCTCTCTCTCTCTCTTTTTGTTATCTTTTTGCGTGTGTTCTCATTTTACAACGTTTTATTCGTTTTATGTTGGCGTTCTTGGATGTTTTTGCGGTGTTCTTGTTGTTGCTTGAGTTGTGGATTTGATTACGTTGTCTTCTGATATTTTTCTTTCTTTTTTTTTTCTTTTTGCTCTGTTTTGTGTGTGGTGTTGTGAATTTTGGCATTGATGTTGGAGTGGAAGCAGAACGTGTGAATTGGATTTAGATTTTGTGTTTTTCTGGAATGGGAAATATGGAGGTGGAACTGGAAGAGAATGATGTTCAGGAAAAGAAGATTAGGATTGGAGTTTGCGTGATGGTAAAGAAGGTGAAATGCGACGCCAAGCTTAATCATGTCCGCATCTCACTCTGAAACAGAACTCTATTTTGTTTGCTTATCATCTTACTCTGTGAACTTCTGCACTGCATAGGTGTCCTCGTCGCCAATGAGACAGATATTAGATAGATTGGAGGCCTTTGGTGAATTTGAGGTACGTCGTTTTTTAATCATCCAACCGTGTTTCTTATATTTGCGAAGTTCAAATCTCCTACAGTTGCTACAAGTTTCATTGCACGCGCTAGTTTTTTCCCTCCCTGTTATTAATGAATGACAGATGGACTATGAAGACCTAGTTGTTTAAGAAATGAAGTAGTGTTATAATTTCTCTTTGGCAGTGTGGTTATATCTCATATCTTGTAGAGGTTTGCGAAATTAAGCTTTCACTGGTGTATATTTGCGGAGATTTAATTTTTCTGATTGTATTATAAGTTTATGCTTTTGCGGATGTTTATTTCTCATTGGTCTTTTTCATATGTGGACTGATTGTAGATAATAGTATTTGGAGACAAGGTCATTCTTGAAGATCCAATAGAGAGGTATAGTATATGGTTACAACCAGAATATAACTATTTTGAGGTCGCGTATTCAATTTTTTTCATCTTTGGTTTTGTATTATCGCATGTATTTCATGAGAAAGGTTAGCTGCTATTTTGACCCTCTCCTTTCTTATAACCATGAGCAGACTCTTCATCACTTACTTGGTACATTGAGAAGTTTTACATTCTCTTGCCAATATTTAACCCGCCACGTGCTAAATAACTTGTTCTACTCTGGCCAGTGAATATCACATCTTTGGCTATGGATTTACTGTTCAAATTGTGATGCTATCTTGAACGAACTTCAGACAAGTAGCCTTTTGGAAGGGAAAAGATGGGCTACCGAAGTTTTAGCTACTTCTTGGGGAGTT